TTTTTATAATTTTATATCGATAAATTTGAAAAATAATAGTTTATAATTTAAGAAATATATAATGTGAAATTTATTATGTTGATGTGGATTTAAAATAATGATTTTATAAATTTACAAATATACATATATTGATATATTATAATAAAATTGAAAATAAATTGATTTAATTATAATTATCGATTTATTAAGATAGATATATAAAATATATAATATATATATAAATAATTTTATATATATATAGATATATATTTAATTATATGGTTTTGGCATTGTGACCGATAATGTATTTTGATGTTTATTAATTAAAAAAATATAGTATATAAATGTATAATTAAATGGAACACTATAATTATATAATTTGTTTGTTATAGATTAATTATGATGTATTTGAATTGAATAAATTAATTTAATATAAAATATTGAAATACATATATAAATATTGATATTTTGAAAACAAAAATATATATAGATAATTAATGAATATAATATTAAAAAATTATATAAATATAAAAATATATTAAATGAAAAATATATATATTTAAATCAAAATATAATGATTAAATATATAAATAAATTAAAAATGGTATGAATTCCTTTAAAAGATCGGAATTATTATTATTTTCAATATATTTGATGGTTCGTGATTACGAATATATATGAATTAAATCTTTGTTTGTATGGTGATTTTATTTTCTATTATTTTTCTTTGAATAAATTAGGTATATCTAATTAACGAATTAAATATATTATGGCAGATTAATATATTATTAAAATAATATTAGGATATTATTTATTTTAATTTATATCAAAATGATATTTATCCTAATATTTAAGATATAAAATTATATTGAATTTGATTAGAATTTCTATCTTATTTTTTATTATTCTTAAATCCTATATACATATAATATGAGAATATATATTAATCCAGCAATCGAGATATTCGAATATATAAATAATAAAATAGAATCGAGAGACGAAATTTCGTTTACCCATTCCCAATGCCATTTTAAACACGAGCATTATATTAATCCACTCCATCAAGGAAACCTAAATCAAGAAAATAAATAATATTTCAAAAATTTCAATTCAAAAAAAATATCCTTATATTGAAAAGAATAACACACCTACAAAAATCATACATAAAAAACTACAAATAAAAGAATCGTACATCATAAAAACGAAGAAAAATATCGAAATATAAAAATATATTGAATAAAAAATCAAGAATTATAAATATATATAAATAAAATATTTAATAAGAATTATTTCGAATATATTTCCAAAATCATTTATATATATAGTCAAATATTGTATCGTTTCTACAAATCCAATATTTAATCAATTGTATTCCATTTTTTTTGTTTCATTCAATATATAAACAAAAAAATAATATAAATTCAAGAAATATCCAAATCATAAAAATAATAAATTTCATATCTCATAAAATAATAAAATAAATATATATCTGGTTGTCAAAATGTTGATTCCCAGCTTTGTAGCAAAAATCGCCATTCGGGCCATATGAACATATAACCATCGCGGCACAATAGGTTTGACTAAAAAACGTACAAATAACTGACAGCAGTGCTAGCGGGCCTTTTCTTAGCTACTATCGGATGAGCTGTCCAAGCTTATAGAGCTACTGCTATAAGATATTTAGAGATTAGCCTGACTTACAACTACAACCTAGAAACATGCAAGTGGCTTGTTAAGTATAGCCTCCAACAAGGTATGTGTCCCAATAATGCGGAGGTAGCGCGGAGCTAGCGCGCAAAATTGCCTATGATTTCATAAATTTTATGATAAACGCATAATTTTCATATTACGAGAAAGGAATATATTAAGCTCTAAATACGACCGAACAAAAAATCCATGCATATATATCTCATATGCCATATCAATTAACGTCTCCGACCTAACGCCGAGCTAATGCGAAGCTAACGGGATTTGCATAATTTAAATAAAAATCCATTTCATTAAAAATACAAAACAATAAAATCAACAAGAATTATATATATATTAGTATATATAATTCCTTAATCAATCTTTTTAAACAAAAACCACATTCCAACACCCTCCAATTAATACCCAAGCAATAAAAAAAAAAACCTATAAGCCTTTATAAATAAAAATACATTATTATTATTATTTATAACAAAACAATACCATAACAAAAAACTAACAAACAAAAAATAATAACAAAAATAACAAATACCATTTTATATATCATCCATATCATCCCAATTACATATCATCCCATATCAAAAAAAACAAAAACAAAAATATTAAAAAAAAAAAC